GCGCCGGCAGCCTGGTCCTCCCAGAAGAACACTAACATACCAAGCAACTGTCCTTCACAGCTGCTCTCGGGGATACCCTTGAGAAGGAAAAAGCGGCCAAAGAAGCTGCTGCATTTGCCTTTGACAAAGTGGCCTTGACCAGGAAAAAGCTAGAGACACAGGGTAAGAGGGAGGGTGTGTCCCTGAATCCCCAAATTAACATAAGGCCTCTGAAGTAGCCTCTAGGACTTCCACAAGCACAAAATTTACAATTTGTGTTTCTGTGGTGCAGAAGTTGGGGAGCCTTTTATTAAGTAGAAAGGCCACTTCGGATCACTGAGAATTGAAAGCATCAAACATAATAATTATCTTACTGCTTTAAAATAAGAACAAGCTTTCAGCTTTGTGGTAGCTCTCCCTTAATTAAGGTTCAGTGTGAAGAAAAGCCTACACCTTTTCAAACTTTAAAAACCTTCATTTTGTCTATTCTTTGAAATTTCACACAGGGATGCAGTGTGTTTTGATCAGATACGCACACTCTCGAAAAATCTTCCCTTCCATGCAGGCCAGACTGGCCTGGCTCCTTCTCTTTGCCGAATGCATTCCAAACTCCCACCACAGAACTCTGTCTTCCATCTGTCCATCTGCAGCCATGGCGTCCTGGCCATCCTCTTTCTTCTGCTTAACTTCTCTGTGGTTGGCGTAAGTCCCCCAGGTCAGTCTAACCAGTGAGATACACGTCTCCCCTTTTACAAAATGGAAGGACTTCCGGTTTCCTCCTCAGCTCAGTGGTTTCCTCCATTTCAGACATGGCTCTGGAGACAGCCATTTAGGAGCCTGTTTCTCAAAAAAGTCAATCCTTCCTCTCCCAGACAGTACATGTCTGCAGTTTGAATGCCTCCACCTGTACTCTGTGAAAGTCTCTCGTGGAGGCTTAGGGCTCCCTAATTGTGCTCAGATGAGAGTTTGTGGGACAAGAGTGTCCTGCGATCTGCCTATCCTGAGCTGCCCAGTTTGTTTGTTTATAGTTTTAGATGGGATCTCTCTGTGAGAGCAAACTGTTCTTGAAAGAGATCCACTTGCCTCTGCCTCTGCCTCCTGAGGGTTGGGATTAACTGTATGCCCCACTATACCTAACCCAAACTGCCCAATTTAAAAGGAAGTTTCCAAAACCCTCCCCTGAGAGATCTGGGCTCACTCTCTCCTGAGTCACAGTCTTGCCCATTGTGACTGAAGAACCCACTATAGCCATGCTTCCTGGCTGATTCTTTTGCCTGCCTCAGTTTCAGTACCAACGCTTTATCCATTAGGTCCCAGGACCTCTCAGTGTGCATCTTTTATTAATAGTGTTGTCAGATTTAGCAAATACAAGACACCCAGTTACATTTGAACTTCAGATAAGCAAGTTGGATTTTAGGTCAATTTGTAATATTTGGGACATAGTTATAGTAACATTTATTTGTAATTTCTCAAACTGCTGAAATTCATATTCTACCAGATGTCTTGTGTTTCATCTGTCTTTTCATTCATTCACTCACTCATTCATTGAGTCATTCATTCATTTGTTCACTCTTCACATTTGTTGAGCACCTACACGCTGTCGGGCACTCTTCCAGGTGTTGGGAAAGCTAGGCAAAGCTCCACTCTTCATATCTGTATCTGTTACCTTCTTGTCACTGGGACAAAAATACTTGACAGAAGCAACTTAAGGGAGGGAGGGATTATTTGGGCTCACACTCAGAGAAGGCCTGGTAGGAAGAGGGGCTGTAGCTGTGGTGCCAGGAGCTTCCAGTGCCTGGTCACACAGTGTTTCTTGTCAGGAAGCAGAGAGAAGAATGTCAGCTCATTCTCTTCGCTTTCTGTTCAGTCCAGGCCCCCAGGCCGCCATGGGCCGCCATGCGGAAGGGTCTCCCTTCCATGGTTAAACATCTCTAGGCTCTCATAGACATGCCCAGAAGTGTGTCCCCAAGGTGATTCTAAATTCAGCCAGATGACAACGGAGATTAGTTGTTATATCCTTACACTGTACATACTCTTATCACATTTGCGTACACAGCACAAACACTCACATCCGAGGGATGTGTTTGCGTCTTTTAGTCTGTAACGCTCTCCTTACCTAGGTGTATTTGCATGTGTATGAGCTCCACGAACTGTTAAGAAATATGGCCCATTGCCTAATTGTTTTTGAAACAGTCTATGTTTCAAAGTAGCCTTGCTTGGCCTGGAGTTTGTGATTCTCCTGCTTCATCCACCTGAGTAGGTGGGGTTATAGGCTTACACCACAAATTCATCTTCTTTTATCCTGTAGCATTGACCACATTCTGAATTTAGAGCATTGCTTCCTCGTGGTCATAAGGCTTCTGCCTCCTGTACTGCCTGTACTTGATCAGATTAAAATCTGATGAATTTTTTTCTTTCGTGTGTATATGAGCTTAGGAGTTTATATGCACCACTTAGAAACAGGAGCCAGTGGGGGCCAGTAGGGGACATCAGACTCCCCTGGAACTAGAATTGCAATGGTAACCCTACCCAAGACAGCCATCTTTCAGGTGATTCTCCAATCTCTATCCCTCTGCAAACATGACATGTCTATGTCACCACACACATATGTATGCCATGTTCATATGGGGTCTGGGCATCAGACTCATGTAGTTAAGCTTATATGACTGGTGCTTTTGTGACTGGGTCATGTAGGCAGCATCTAAGATGCACAGTCTTACGAGATCATTTGGCAACAGGGTGGAACCTGGCTTCGGGTAATGAGGAAAGGGGAAGAGAGGAGAGGAGAGGAGAGGGGAGGGGAGTGGAGGGGGGAGGAGGAGGAGGAGTGGAGGGGGGGGGGGGGGGGGGGGGGGGGGGGGGGGGAGGAGGAGGGGAGGAGAGAGGAGAGGAGAAGAGAGAGAAAGAAAGAGAGAGAGAGAGAGAGAGAGAGGAGAGGATATGGGTCCATGTGAGACATGGTGGTGCTCTGAAGAGAACAGAAGAGTTGATAGGGAGCCTGGGGAAGGGTTGTGGGACAAGAGATGAGGAACTGGCTGGGTGAGTGGGAGGAGCTATGGACCTGTGAGAAGGGCCTGTGTGGGAAAGACTGGACAGATGGGCTTTATAGTCAGAGAAGGAACAGCAATGAGGAAGCAGCAAGAATCGTGTCCTCCAGGCAACCCAGTGGCTCCTGACAGAGCCCTAGACCTCAATATAGAGTGTGACTAGAGCAGTTGAGGAAAGACAGCATGCCAAAGCATAGGAATTGCTCCAGAACATGAAGAAACAGAAAGAGAGGAAGAGTGCTGGTTAGGACCCCTGTGTGCTGTGCTCCCCAAGTGCTTGGTCACACCCAGTTGCCAGAGGCTGCTTGTGGACATGGGAGGCGCTGTATAAACACGACTGTTTAGAAGGTGTTGGGCTTTACATGGCTACCCACAGTTGCCCTGGGAAAGCCTCTTCTGCTCTTCAATCTTCACCTGACTTTTGGCTCAACCACTCTGCCAATCCCAGTTGCCTTCCACTAGAACTTGCCTAGATAGGCCCTGGGCCTGGCCTGAAGCTCCTCCTCAGAGGAGCCAGCTGGTGCCTCTTCTAAATAAAGCAGGGATACCACCTCAGCAATAGGAAGCACACACCTGTGGAGGTACTAGAGCCCTGTCCCTTCTTCAAATATCAAAAGCAAGGTAGAGAAATTAGAGAACATTCTTAGTCTAGACAAGAAGAGGTTTGTTTACTTGCTATTTTCTTATGGTTCTGAGAACACAGGGCCTTGTGCATGTTAGGGAAGCCCATTGTCATTGAGCTTGACACTTGATTCTCAGTCTATGAGGAAAACAAGGACCAAAGAGATTGAGTTGCTCAATGATGTGAGTTCGAAGCTGTCAGCCATGACCATGAGTCCCACAACCGAAGTCCAATCTGTATCACATCCATCCTCCTCAATCCCTGTCTGCACGTACTAGCCCATTCCTTTGTAGGTTGGTCCTGGTGTGACAGGGTATAGTGGAAAGAAATGGAGGGAAGTGCCTGTGGATTCCATTAAGATCACCATGGTTTGTTTATGATTATAGTTTCTCCATCTGTCAGGGCAAAAACCAGACGGAACCGGTGAGATAAGGAAACATGGCTAAGAGCCCCACCAAGGACAGAGGCAAGGAAAGTTACACAGTCCTTCACCACACAGTAATGTTGTCGTCAACAATTGCCTAATACAAGATATAAAAATTGTCCCCTGCACCAAGGAGACAATTTAATCTCAGCACTTGGGAGGCAGATCTCAGTGAGTCTGAAGCCATCCTGGTCTACAAAAGAAAGTTCCAGGACTGTTGCACAGAGAAACCATGTCATGAAAAAACAAAACAAACAAACAAAAGAATTGGTCCTTGAAATTCTATCACCAAATGATGTGATAACCCTCTTAAGCTTGTATCAATATACACTGTGTGCACAATGTTGCCCGATGACATGTTTTCAAAACATGAAGGCAATTGAAAAACAGAAGGGTTGGCCACCAAAGTCTGGCCACCACTGCCTTTCTACTTATTTTCCCTGAATGATCCATACTTTAGTGAGTTTGGGGCCAGCCTGGGCTACATGGTACAAGCCCTGGCTGCCAGACAATTCTGTTGTACCATTCATTGTCAACAACGTTCAAGCATGTACCTAGGAGTTTATTCTCTACCCATGCAGTTTTAACATGGAATGTACATCCCCTGTCCAAACCTTGCTTCAATTGCCTTCACTTGCTGCTCTGGTTGAAGCTGGCTTGTTCCTGCCTCTGCATACCCAGCTGACTTCCCCTCCATCAGAGCTTTTACTCTGTTGTTACCTGGAGTTGTCTTTGCATCTGTCTCTTCCTGTCCCGGTATCATGATGACTTTTCTGACACTGATTACTCCTGGCTACCCTAGCGATGTAGAATCAGAGACAAGGGATGGGTTTTTTTTTTTAGCTCTTCCCCACGCTTTCTCTGAGCCTGCAAAGTAAATGCTGCCACATGCACACCACCCCATGCCCTTTGTCGTTCCACAGCCAGCATGTGCAGCACCAGTATGCATGACCTGGAAGACATCCCCCTGGAAGATGACGACTCCAACAGCCTAGAGTTCAAAATCCTGACCTTCTACGCCAGACACCATGTCTTCAAGAACCCGCCAGCTGTTTTCTCACCCAAGCTCTCCAGAACAAGAAGTTTGTCCCAGAAAGCACTGGGGACTTGGTCAACTGACTCGTGGACACAGGTGTCATTGCCTTGCAAAAGCTCCCTCTCCAGTGAAAAGCACATAAGCCTTAGCAAGAAGAAATCGTCTTGGAGAACATTCTTCAGAGCAACGGAGGAGGAAAGCCCACCGAGCTCCCCAAAGGAGATTCAAGCTCAGGGTATTCAGGGCCCCTTCGCGGTAGAGCGTCAGTGCCTAAAGCTTCAGGGCGGCTTCCACAACCAGCACTGGGCCAGGTCTCTCTCCAGCGTGGAGCAGCGCCTGCAGTGTGAAGGTAGGCTACAGAGGGCTCTCACTCACACCTGTAGTAAGATGTTTTTTCTCTTTGGGGGGTCCACCACCCAGCTCCCAAATGAATCAAACACGGAGACTTATTCTTATTTTATGAGTGCCTGGCCTTAGCTTGGCTTGTTTCTAGCCAGCTTTTCTTAACTTAAATTGTTCCATCTACCTTTTGCTTCTGGGCTTTTCCTGTTCTCTTACTTATGTAAATCTTACTCTTACACTCTTACTCCATGGTCCCTTGGGTCTCCTTCTATATTTATACTCTCTGCCTGCCAGCCCCACCTATCCTTGCTCCTGCCTCGCTATTGGGCATTCAGCTCTTTATTAGACCACCAGGTGTTTTAGACAATCACAGTAATACACCTTCACCGAGTTAAACAAATGAAGTATAAACAAAAGTCACACACCTTAAAATAATATTCTACCACATTTCCTCCTTCCTGTCTAAATAAAAAGTTTTAACTTTATCATAGTAAAACTACGCACAACAAAAACAGTAAGAATTAATTTACAATATTCTATCCATTTTTAGTTAGCATATTCAGAGAAAATAATGCATTATCTATCCTATCTTAATGAATTCAAAGTTTTATACCTAACTTACTTTTTATCTCATCTAAGGAAAACTGCAACTATAATTACGTAGTTTTCAATTCCATCAAAGGCACCAAAGGGATATATTATTCAAATAAAAAAGTACATTGGAAATAACTTTCAAAAACTCTAGCAATGACATCTGACTGCCTGGAGAGTCACCCAAAGTTTCTCTGCAATGTTGGGGCATCCATCTTCAGCCTACAGGCTCGTAGTATCTGGCAGACTTTTCAATGAAGCAAGAAATCTGAAAGTCTGTCCTGCCTATATTGACAGTTTGTCAGGCACTTTGCTCTGTGTCTTGCAGAATGTCTGGCAGTTTCTTTTCTTTTTTTTACTTCTTTTCTTTTTTGTTTTGTTTTTGTTTTTGTTTTTCAAGACAGGGTTTTTCTGTGGCTTTGGAGGCTGTCCTGGAACTAGCTCTTGTGGACCAGGCTGGTCTCAAAATCACAGAGATCTGCTTGCCTCTGTCTCCCGAGTGCTGGGATTAAAGTTTCTGGCAGTTTCTTCTGTGAAGCAGGAACCCTGAAAGACCATCTTGCCTTGTTTTGGCCAAGTTCAGTGGTCACTTTTCTGTGTCCTGCACAGTCTGCACAGAACATTGTCAGTAGTCAAATGGAAGAGAAGTTTTTTTTGTTTTTTTTTGTCCAGTGACTAACATTGCCACAATGAAAGCAAGCTCCATATGGAGGTTTTTCAATGCCCATCATCTCTGAAGTAAATTGGTGCTGCCAGGAGCAGATATGTCTCATTGTCATGAAAAGCCCTAAGTTAACAAGACATTTAAATGCTATATTCTGTAGTTCTTTGAAAGGTTTGAAGACCATCTGTCTATCTAAAATATATCTCTATATGATTGGAAAAACATAGCTAGCATAGCTACAAATTTGATTGTTATAGATGACTAACTACTGACATGTGTTTCTTGATTATCCTAAATAGTTCATAATAATAGCTTTCAAAAACTAGAATTTTACCTTACATTTTAAATGAACTGCACAGGTACAATACCTTAAACAACAGCAGAAACATATATGTTATAACAAAAATAACCTTAAATTGGTTTCAATATAAAAAATCTTTAAACAAGAACAAAAACATACACAGTATAACAAAATTGACTTATTTGTATCCATATACCAAAATCCATGCCAAGGCAAAATATCTGAGATTAATAGTGGTCCTTTTATCCTATATTCCTCTATTCCCCTAAATTATAACAAACATCCATGACCCACAAAATAACAAAAAACCTTCTGCAGCCCAGCTCTTGGCAATATGTTTGTAGTTTTCTCTAAACTGCTTCTTGCTGGCTGTAGGAGAAGGCATCATTAGGTTTCCCATGAGAAAAAATGATCAAGTCCTGGGAAGACTGGCTATAACCTTTGTTGATAGATATCACCTGTCAAGTTTCAGGAGGTCTCCCTTGATCAAACCAGATCCATATCAACGTGGACCAAATCACCAGCCTCTTGTTTCCTATGGAAACAAAAGCAAAAGTGCTTCTCCAAAGCATCTTTTAACTTCCATTTGACAAACACATTTGTTGACTTCCATTTTAAAGCTAAGGCTTTCTTAAAATATCTAGGCTGGTTTATTTCCACAGTCCCTCTGTCAATACCAGGTCTCTTCGCAGCTGTCCTTTGCTTTTGAGCAATCAAAAAATTCAAAATCAACACAATAGCATTCGGGATCCAGACTCCCTGTGTATTTTCCATCTTTACATGACTTTCTTCTTTTATATTGCTTTTACTGTTTCTTTAAAGACTTTATTTTATTATTTTTAAACTGTTTCTATGACTGTCCATACCCTTTTTCTTTCTTTCTTAAGCCTACACACATTGTAAAACACACTGAAACCTGTTTATAGGTTTATTTCCATCTGGACCTCTTTTACTTCATATCTTTTAGCCTTTTCTGACTGCAGTAGCAAACTTTAGACTGATAAAGCTACACCTGGATACTCCACATGTGAGAACCAAGCTCAAAGCCCGTGTCCTGGTCGGAGGCTTGTCTTACCAGGAACTGCCTTCAGCCTTCCTAGAGCTCTGGAATGCCAATGATTGCACTATGGCAGGCGGTTTTTGTTCCCACTACTGTCCTGGGTGCTCAGGAGCTCACTGACTGGCAGAAACTGTCTGGCCGAAACTTTTAAAAGAGCCATATCCTTCCGCCCCTCTTTTTTTTTTTTCTTTCAAGCTTTCTCAGGCCCTATGGAAATATGAGTGTCATGTGGGTGTAGTAAGATTTTTTTTTCTCTTTTGGGGGCCTGCCATCCAGTTCCCAAATAAATCAAACATGGAGGTTTATTCTTACTTATGAATGCCTGGCCTTAGCTTGGCTTGTTTCTTAAATTATCCCATCTACCTTTTGCCACTGGGCTTGGATTTTCCTGTTCTCCTGTTTTCCTTTTCCTTCTGTAAATCTTACTCCTAATCTGTGGATTGCTGTGTAGTTGGGTGGCTAGCCCCTGGTGTCCTCTTCTCCTTATTCTCTTTCTCCTCTCTCTCTCTGTTCTTCTATGGATACTCTCTGCCTGCCAGCCCCTCCTAGCCTTGTTCCTGCCTTGCTTTTGGCTGTTCAGCTCTTTATTAGAATACCAGGTGGGTTTTTTGTTTGTTTTGTTTTGTTTTGTTTTTTCTGTTTTTTTAGCTTTGTTATTTTTTTCCTTTTTTAAAAATTTAAATTAGAAACAAGCTTGTTTTACTTGTCAATCCCCGTTCCCTCTCCCCCCTCCTCCCCTGTCCCCACCAAAATCCCATCCCATCCCCTTCCTGCTCCCCAGGGAGGGTGAGGCCTTCCATGGGGGAATCTTCAAAGTCTCTCATATCATTTGGAGCAGGGCCTAGACTCTCCCCCTTGTGTCTAGGCTGAGAGAGTGTCCCTCTTTGTGGAATGGGCTCCCAAAATCCATTTGTATACTAGGGATAAATGCTGATCCACTACCAGAGGCCCCATAGATTGCCCAGGCCTCATAACTGACACCCACGCTCAGGGGGTCTGGGTTGGTCCTACATCAGGTGTTTTAGACAGGCAAAGTAACACAGCTTCACAGAGTTAAACACATGCAGCATAAACAAAAGTCACACACACCTTAAAATAATATTCTACACCTATCTCCTTCCATGTGTGTGCTGAGTGCTCTGCGTCTCCTACCTACGGAAGACAGGCCTGGGCTTTCCATTTCATTAATCTCCATCATAACTACCCACTTTTCCCAATAAAGAAAGTAGGTAGGAGTGAGCGGTGGCTGCAGAGGTTTCTCAGCTCTGTGACTACAAATCAGCTTGCTTCAAGAGAGGAGCACAAAGGAGGGCACCTTAGCCAGGTACCTTCTCCTAGGCCAGCTGACCTCTGGAGACCCTGGGTACTGTGTTTACACCACACTGTATATTGGGGAGATCACACCCTTCCCTGCTTTTTATGGTTGTTGGAGGATGATCAAGGGATGGAGGTAGGTGTTTCAGAGGTTCATGGCCAGCCTTGGCTATATAGTGAGTTGGAGGCCATCCTGGGTGACATGAGACCTTGTCTCAGAAAACAAACCAAACCAAATGAAAGAGGGAGAAAGAGAAGAGAAAGGAAGGGGGACAGAGAGAAGCAAGATAGGAGCTTGAAAGGAATAACAAGGATGAGGAAAGAGGGGGGAAGATGGGAGGTAGAGAGGGAAGGAAGGCAGTCAAATAGGTTTAAGTGAATAGTTTTTCAGTTGGGCACAGTGGCCCATAGCTGCCATCATCAGGTTTCAGGAGGGAAAGAATGACGAGTTCCAGGCTAGCCTGGGCTACAGAGCAAGTTGGAGGCCCAGCTTACTGCAAGACTGTCTTGAAAAAGAAAAACATACAAAATACTTTTCAAAATGTAAACTACCAGACTGGAGAGATGGCTCAATGGTTAAGAGCACTGGCTGCTCTTCCAGAGGACCTGAGTCCAATTTCCAGCACCCACACGGTGGCTCATGGAAATCTATAACTATAGTCCCATAGATCTAATACCCGTTCCTGGAGTACAGATATAAATGCAGACAAAACATCCATATACATGCAATACACAAATTCAAAAAAAAGAAAGGTTGTCTAAAAAGAAATAAAGGGGCTAGAGTGATGGCTCAGTGGTTAAGAGCACTGGCTGCTCTGCCAGACGGCCCAGGTTCAATTCCCAGCACCCATATGGAAGCTCACAACTGTCTGTATTTCCAGTTCCAAGGGATCTGACACACAGATACACCAGGCAAAACCCCAATGCACACAAAGTAAAAATAAAATCTTCTTTTAAAAGAAACTGATAAAGTCTTCCCTTGTTAGGAAAAACATCAATTGTATTGAACCAGACTCGCTCACTGAGGGTTTTACCTCCACCCAGGGACCTCAGCAGAAGCATCTTCCATCTTCCCACCCACCGCCCCTCAGCGGGGCCCCTTCCTGCCAGGTGTGACGGGACTGTCCCTTATTAGTCAACAGAGGGCAGTAACGGCTCAGTTTTGAAATGTTGCTAGCATCCTAAGTTTTTGGAGTAGGTCTGCCTGTGGAAGGCTCATACCATTCTGTGACCAAGGGAACTTATGCTTCAGTTAGGCCACAAGAACCCAAGGTCCAGCGGATGTGCAGAACCTGTCACTCAAAGGGCAGCAAGAATTTCTGGAGGGGCACTGCTGAAGGAGACACAGCCTGGACCACACAGAGACCATCTGTCTTCCCAGCTTTGTTTAACTCTCTGAGCTAATGGAAGCATCTACCCCCTAAATCCAAGCATGGCTGAGGCTGCAGTGGTGCCCAAAGTGAGAGGCTGCTCCGTGTCTCCCTCCCCTGCCCCATTCTTCCCAACATAGGCAGCAGCTATCAGGACTGGGAGCCTGGAGACCCCAGGGACCTGGCTTTGTGGGTCAGTGTGGCCTACACAGGGAGACAGGAAGTTTCTGTAGTCTTCATTCCCCATTCCCCCGAGTAAATGACACAACAGACGTATCACTTGGCTTTCCCCCTATTGCTCATATCACCCTCCCCCCTTTTAAGGGGAGATAAGTGAAGAAAAATAACTTTCAGGGGAGGTTAAGAATAAAAGGTTCAGAAAAAGAATAAATGGAAAGTGGGTTTATTGGCCAAATTGTATCTGAGGCTGGATAACTGTATATTGCTATGCACATAACCATAGAACATAGTTTTACGCATATCTAGACAACACATCTCCATTTTAAATAGGAAGAAAGGGGAAAGGCAGAGGTGGCTTTCTTTCTAGATTATTTGGCTCACTCTGTGTATGTATTTCTATGTTTATTTATTTACTTATTTGACACAGGGCCTCAATATGTAGCCTAGGCTGACCTCAACCTCTTGACCCATGCCCCATCATTAGGTCTCGCAAATGAATGGACAGTTTCTCCAATCACAGTGTAATACGAGTCAGCTGCTCCATTTGGCACCAAACACAGAGCTGCCTCAAGCCCCTACAGTGAAGCAACTGGAAAACCAATGGCGGGTTTACTACCCAACAAGTCATCCGTGTACCTACCCATTGCAGCACTCTTTCTTTCCTCAAGCAGATGTGAAGCCAACTTGCGAAGGAAGTCTACGCCATGTAAACCTTCCTGCCCACATGATTTATCACTTCCCTGATGACAGAGTCATGAAGGATGAGTTGTACTTCATGCACTTGTTCTTCTGAGATAGAGTCTGACTTTGTAGCCCAGGCTGGCCTGGAACTCATGATCCTGCAGCCCTGGCATCCTAAGTGCTGAGATACAGATGTGACCACCACATCTGGCCGTGTCTATGCAAACTTGTTTACCTGTAAGCATAACTTGAATGTTTTCTATTAAACATAAAGGGGAAATTGTGACTGCAAGAGCAAGGAGTATCAAGCTATGAACCCTCTCTAGTAGAGGCCACCTCTCAAAGGTATAAAGGGTGTCCCCAAATATAAATAAATGTAAAAGAATGAAAATAAAACCACCATGAGCTTTCTGTCAAGCAATGCCCTGCCTCTCCCCCTTTGGTGCTCCTTCCTTGGCAAGGGGGGGTAAGCTGAGGGTGTGGAACGACAGCTGTATACTGCCCCCTTCTCCCAGCCTCTACTGGGGAATTGTTAGTCCCCTCTGAAGAATGCCCCACCACAAACACAAACTCCTGGAAATAGTCCTCTCCTGCTAGGCTGGCCTCTTCATCCTGGGGAACTGGGCAGTCCATGCAGCAGGCCCAGTACTGGGGATACCCTCTGAGCAGTTCTTTCTTGTTTCAGCTGTGGACCCCAAGGTTGCTTCTATTGCCAACCGGGTAGCTGAAATCGTTTACTCCTGGCCACCAGCAGAAGATAGCCACATCCAGGGAAGCAGCTTCAAGTTGAAAGAGAGTGCCCCAGAGCGTCTGTACTTGCACTTTCAAGGCCCTCAACCTGTATCTTGTGATTCTAAGAAAGGTAAGCCTTCCTTGTGAGTGTGTTGGGCTGAGTATATGCCAGATAGACGTGTATGGGCATGCATGCCTGTATGCTGTATGTATGTATACAGCTAAGGGCTCTGTACATCGGGAATCTCAGCCCACTTCACAGCAACATGGTAGAGACCTTGAGCTCTAGCTTAAGACATCGGCCCATGACACAGAGATGCTATGAGCATGTTGAACCAACATAGCAGCCCACTGCTAAGTCAGAAGAAAGTCCTTCCTGTGGAGGGAGAGGAGGAAATGTCAGATCTAATCATGTTATAAGGGTCGTGCGTAGAGTTCTCATCGACCAACCCAGGACTCGTGGCAAACAGCCAGGCTGTCAGACACCCATTGTGTTATTTTTCTTGCCATTGTGAAAAAAAAAATGCCTACCAGAAGCAACTGAAGGGAGAAACTATTTATTTTGGCTTATGATTTCAGAAGGTTCCCTTGGTGGTTGGTGCACTACATGCATTTGGGCAGAAGAATATGGCACCAGGGTACAGCCAAGGGCAGGTGTTCATTCTGCAGTCAACCAGGAAGCAAAGAAAGCAAGAGGAGGCCAGTAATAATACATCCCCATGGGCCATCCTCAGTGTCCCAGGCCATCCTCAGTGTCCCTGTCATAACAAACCCCCATGGGCCATCCTCAGGGTCCCTGTCATAACACACCCTCACCGGCCATCCTCAGGGTCCCTGTCATAACACACCCTCACCGGCCATCCTCAGGGTCCCTGTCATAACACACCCTCACCGGCCATCCTCAGGGTCCCTGTCATAACACACCCTCACCGGCCATCCTCAGGGTCCCTGTCATAACACACCCTCACCGGCCATC